AGCGGGCGCCCGGGCTCCGTCCCCGCCAGGGCCGGGCCAACCCCGCTTCCCCGACGGCAAACGGGCGCAGGGAGGGCGGCTCCTGTCCACGCTCCACCGCGGCCCTGGCCGCCCCAGCTGGGACCTGGGGGTCGCTGCCCATCCCGCCGTCCGCCCAGGGGCCCCAACCCCCCCCTTTCCCTCGTGGAGAAGGTGTTGGAGGGCGTCTTTCAAAATCCGAGTCTGCGCTCAGCTGCCGGGGTCTGCAGATGGTGGGGGCCCGGGAAGCTTGGCGAGAAGGTCGAGCGGGGATTTGCATGAACACGTGCCCACCCCTGCCTGAGGCCCCCCTTGGGCTCTGATATGTAGGCCTCCCCCCTGTACTAAGGAGAGAAGGGTCTGCTTTCCAGGACAAATAAAGAAGGGAAGTTGCAATGGGCTCTTGTTTGGAGGTTGTTTTTGTGTTTCACCAAGTGTGAGATGGTAATTAGGTTTCAGCCTAAGCCATCCTTTAGTCTCTGGACAGGAATAGACTATGGCAGTGCCCTCTGGGTCCCCTGTGCCCCACCTCCTCAGGGCACTGAGAGGTGCCCGCTGGGCCCCCAGGGCCACATCCCCCTGTGGCATTTAAGAGACAGAGAGAGCAGCAGTGAGAGGGAACTTGTGACTGTTGACTGGTTTTGGAATCTAGAACTTTCCATCTGATTGTGGGTGTAAAGAATTTAAGTGAGGTTCCATTAGACTAGGTTAGGCATCCCCAAAGAGCAGGCCCTGAAACAGCTGAGATAGTTTCAACCTAGGATTTTTCTTTTATTTATTTATTTTTAGCCATGGAAGGATCTCAAAGACGCATGTCCACTTTGCATTTGTAGAAAACTGAGTGGACTTTCCAGGGATGTATTAGAGCCTCCTAATTTATTATTCATAGAACTTAAACTTGTCACAAGTGATCCCCATTTAAAGGAGGTCAGGAGACTGTTGGCTGTAGCTAGAGATGTATTCCTTTGAAGACTTCTATGTTGAGTCTTGAGGGTTTTTTTCCCTCTTGAACATGTATTAGAAATACCATTATTTATCCCAGAACTTCTCACAGGCTCACGTAGCCAATGTCACCTGACATTGTGGGGAATGACCTACTGGACAGAAGGAAGTCGCTGCAGGGACTTTATTGGGAGTGGTCACATGGAGCAGGGAAGGGAAGACAGCCAAGCGCATGTTAATTAATGAGTTGGCACCGCTGTGGACTCAGTCCCAGTGGGGACTCTGTGAGATCCTCTTGGAAAATGCCCCGTAGCCACACCTGAGGCCGGAGGAGAGCCTGGGGCATCTCCCCACCAACTTCCACGCATGTTGGCTGGTGGCTGCTACAGGGGTGTTAGCTGTCCCTTCACTTCCAAATAGGCCTCCCAGTTCCTGCCCTGCCATGGAAAGCCTGACCAAGATGGGGGTTGGGGGGGAGGCACAGACTGGTCCTGGTGAGAGCTCTCTTCCTGGCTTACAGGTGCCTTTCTCCTGGCTGTGTCCTCACATGGCGGGGAGAGAGAGAAAGCAATCTCCATGCCTTCTCCTTGTAAGAGCACTGATTCCATCATGAGGCCCCCACCCCCTGATCTTACCTAACCCTAAATACCTGCCAAAGGCGACACCTCCTTTGGGGGTTGGGGCTTCAACCTATGAACTGTGGGAGGACATGAGCATTTAGTCCACAACAGCCTGCAGCCTGCCTGTATTGGGGAAAATACCGTATTCTTTCGCTGGCATTTCTCTAAGCTTGGTGGACTCAAGGAATCGGAAATCTGCAGTGGACCTTGGAGACTGTCGTTCAAGGGTCACAAATCCAAACACGATCAGGTGGAGTGAAGCAGGCTGGCTTAAGAGAGGCAATAGCAAAGTCACAATGACAAATGTCCAGGGACACGGGTGGGCGGCAGCTAATCCCACTGGGGAACACTCGGGGCTGGCATGGAACACGTTCTTCAGAGTTATGTCGC